AGTAATAGCAATCTAGAAATTGAAATGTTCATGCATATATTTAATGGGAAAAATAAAATATATTTATATCTACAGTTTAATTATATGTTAACATGTTACCAATGTCATTATACGGTCTTTTGCCCAATTTCTTAATTTTTCTATCATTTGTATAAAAGCATTTTTTTCCCAGTGAAACTGCCACTGCCTAGTGTGCAATCTAATACAAAAGCTTAGATTAAGTAGCTGTTTACTGCTTCTGGGTTGGTATTTGCTTGCAGAGAGGAAGCAGGCTTGCCCCTTATTTAGCTCTACCCATCTATTTATTTGGATCTCCTGCTGATCAGGTCTATTTACCACCCAGGGTGTTCCACATGACATTACGTCTGCTTGGTGAAGAGCTACATAGCCTCACCTACTGACTGCAAATGGCAAATATGAAATATTCTTTGTATGTTCAGCATCTCACATTTATCTGGCTAAAAGAAATGTTAATATATCTAAAGCTTTTATTTTTAATCCTAAACATAATATATATCATGTTATTTGTGACTTGACTAATAGTTCCGCACATCATTTATACCTTTAACTAGGAATTAGTAAAGGGAGCCTCTGTATTTTTATACAACTTTCAACTTTGACAGTTATTTCATATCAACTACATATTTAGCAATCATAGTCTTGTTTTAGACATAGCTTGTGCGCTAAGATATGAAAACAAATGAACTTTTAATATATTTTCTGATTAATGAGTAATGGCAAACATAATACTCTAGCATAGGAATCTTATTTATAATAGGACTATTATAAGAGTCAGTAACAGTAATGTTTGTTTTTTATTATTCCAAAGTCCTTTGAGTTCACATATCTTATACAGTCTTTATTTTTCACTGTTTTATACCCCTATTCTGGAATATTTCATTTAGAAATCTCATACATTTTAAACTTTGCCCTGAAAGTCACAGTGATTGTACCAATGCACTATGGTAACCATTTTATTGTACATTTTGTTTCTGCCAATTTCTTGTAAAAAATATACTAGTTTTTCAGAATTTTTTGCTTATTCTGTACCTTTCCTGTTTTAGTTATATACTGGACACCATACAATGAAGAAGAAAAAACAAAAAAATAAAAATCTATTATAAAATAATTATAAAGAATTATTTGGTTACATGTAAGGTTGTAATAAAATGCATAACATAGGCAGCACGGTGGCATTTTTCCACTGTAGCCCTGCAGCTCTGGGATTTTGGGATCAACTTAAGACATGTAATTTGCATTTTCCCTTGTGATTGTGTGGATTTTCTTCAAGTACACAGGTTTCTTATGACATTGCAAAAAAAAAATACTTAATTGGTGTCTATGTAGAAGCAGCCACTTGCAAAAATAAAAAAATAAAAAACAGTTCTGAACTATTGGGGAGCCCCAGAAGTACCCCCAGTGGTGGACAGAAATGCTTCTTGGCACATAGAGACAATTTGAAGCCTTAGCTTGGCACTATACACTGTTCTGATGTAAATGTTTCTGTGTACTCTGTTAATAGCTACAGAATCTGTTGCTGATTCATGGCTAAATAAAAAAAAAACTAAAACATTTTAATATGTGTTTTACTATGTCTTCTCTTGAGATTTATACACAGCTTTACCTAACTCCCTAAGCTTCATGAATAATCATGTTGAGAGGTCTACATTTCCTACTACTTTAGTAAATGAATTCCTATGTGCCTTAGCAATGTTCAGGGCTGTCTTTGACACAGGGTAAAAGGGGCAGCTGCCCATGGCCCAGTCATTGTTGTTGGGCCCAAAGCAGCTGCCCCTTGAGTAGGTCCTGAACTGCAAAACTCCTACCACTGGCCCTGCATCTGATTTCAGCAGAGAGATGAATGATCGCAGAGCAGAGCAGATGACCCAGAGAGAAGAGCTTGTGGATTCCCTCCACCTACATTCTGTGTATATGTGTGTGCTGGCAGAGGGGGCTCTGCTATGACCTGGATGCCGATGTTCACTGGCCTTTGCACCTGAATGGGGGAGAGGGAGCCTGCCGGGTGAGGGGACTACAGCCTGAATCAGGGCAAAATGAACAGTGGGTGGGTGGGTGGATGGGGAGGCCCTCCATGTCTGTACTGGCTGCTGCATGTGTATATTAGGAAACACTGAACTCCAAGAGAGAGGGGTCACTACATGCTGCTTGTCTGTTTGTGATGGGGGTCACTACATGCTTTCCATGTGCATATGATGAGGGACACTACATGCTAGTCAATGGTAGCATAAGGCTGCAGAGACAGTCGACTGAGGGTGCCGGGGGGAAGAGGGGGTGAAAAATGCACCTTCACCTGTGTACACAATCCATTTTCTTTCCAGATGTTTTAAAAAATATTATCTTTTTCTTCATCTTAACTGTTCCATAATATGAAATATGAAAATTTGATTGCTGTTGGCAATTACTTGAATCAATATTATTTTCTCTAGTTGTCAAGAAATAGTTCCATCCAAATGTTTTATATATTTTTCCTGCTATGATACTGCTGATTTTACTACCTATTTTTTGTTACATATTTTTCTGCTTACAGAATAGTTTATTCAAAATTTATTACCATACAACGTAAAATAAACCTGTACCGGGAGAAAATGGAAGCTGCTGTTTCTGACCACTCCTTCTAAAAAAATACTAGGTGCCTGAACGTCATGGTAATCGAATGGCTTCAATATTTCCTAAGGCATGAATCTGGAACAGGTTTACAGATCATGAAAGTTAAACATTTTCTTACTTAAAGTACTGAAGCTGTAGGGCCAGCAGGACTGTCAAACAGCTAGCATTTTCAGAAGAGGAGCGCTTTCATATTTTTTGACAGGTTTCCTTTAAATGTTCTCTTTAAAACCCATGAGTCTAAAATGACTAATAAGAGTTATTAAATTAATTGTAAGCCAATGTTAAAGTTAGGTTCTTGTGCTTGTGTCAAAAGTAAGTTTTGCTTAATTTATCTATATATTGTATAACATCTAATGAAAGCATTTGCAGATATTGTAGGTTATTAAGAATATTATAAAATGGTCATATTATGTATCTGAACTAATATTTAGTTGATGTTTACTGTTCTAAAATAATTGTAAAATGTTGTATTGTTTATTTTTCTTTTCAAATATATTATTATATTATTCCAAACCTTTTCCAGATAAGCTCATTTAAAAGGCAAAGGACAGATCATTCAAGCCATAAGCAATATGCAAAAATCTTTTAAGTTAATTTAAATTAATTGAATTAATAATATGAACAACACTGATAATAAGAAAATGTAAAATTGGTAAATCCAACGTTCAGATAAATGTATTGACAAGGTAGAACACGTACAAAAACAGAGAAAGAAATTGAAAGAAAAAGAAAAATAAACTCTTAATTCGTACTTTAATGTAGGTCTTTACAAAAGTTGGAAGGATCAGCTCTGGTTCTTACAGTAAGAAATAGGTCAACTAAATCCTTCATACAATAGTCTGTGCAGCTATTAAAATTGAGTCAGGGTGATTGGCGGTTTACTGCCTGAAATATAATTTTGCTACAAGTTAAAAAGCCTGCACCCCCCCCCCCCCCCCCTTTCGTTTTTACCCATCCACGCCCCCC